CAAATTGGATCTGACTGGTACAGGAGACTGCCCCTCCTTCTCCAGCAGAGCATGAAGTAGAGTCTGGGTTGTTCCCCCCCCCCCAGGTGCCTGTCGGGGCCTGGGTTTCAGCTGTCCACACCACAGCAGTGGGCAACGAGCTTAAAGCCCCTGATGGCTCTGGGCGCTGACCCTCACCAGTGGCTATGGGTGAAGTCACAGGCGATTTTCAGCCAGCGCCGGGTGTGCTGAGTTTTTTGTTAGATTTTAGCCTTTCTTAGCTATCTTGCTAAAATGGAGTTGTGCAATTTCTAGCTCTTACAGTTTCTAGCTTGTAATTAATTTTTGATTATTCATTATCTAATAAAAACCATCAATCAAAATGTTTAATTAGTAGTGAAGTTTACTAGAGTTTAGTTATAAGATTTAGTAAAATGGCTTACTTTCACTAGTCTTTTTTGATCTTAAATAAATTTTTGAACATTGTTGTTGGTTGTTCTGTGTCATCGAGTCATAGTGACCCTATGTACAATAGCTCTGAACCCTCCCTTATCCTGAACCAGTCTCACTGACTCTGACAACCCCCTCCTCTCCATTACCCCGGTTACTGAGTCAGTCCAACTCATCCAGGGTCTTCTTCTCCTGTGCTGTCTCTCCACCCTTCTAAGCATGATGTCCTTATCCAATGACTGATCCCTCTTGACCATGTGCCCAGACTATACAAGACAGAATTCAAAATCCTAGCCGCCAAGGAGAAACTTGGTTTCACCCTGTCTAGTACAGATCTGTTTCTTCTCTTGGTATTCCATGGTACTCCAGTACCACTACTCAAAGGCATTAATTCATGTTCTTTCATTTTTAGTTATTGTCCAGCTCTCTGATGCATAGTAAGTAATTACAAAGACCATGGCCTGGATCAGACACAGTTTAGTAGTCTCTATAGAGTGACAGCATTGCTCTTTAGCACTTTGGAGAGGTTCCTGACAGCAGGCTTACCCAATGCAGTTCATCTTTTGATTTCCTGACTACTGATGCTAAAGAGTGTTGTGGAGCTGAGGAATCTGAAATTGT